CTGCACCCGAGCCCCGGTGCCACCGGCCACGAGGCAGCGCGGCCCCCCGGGATGGGATTTCAGGAGAAGCGCCATTGCGAGATGTCAGCAGAGCCCGGCAGCGGGGCCAGCCCACCCGAAGAGGCTCAGGGAGGCACAGCAAGCATCAAGCAAATCAAAGAAGTGCTGCAGCGTACGGAGAGTCCCGGAGAGGTCAGAGCTTCGGCGCCTCCTCTCAGCTCCCACCTCGCACGGGGGAGAGAGAAGCACAAATCAGGCCGCACCTCGACCGCATCCAGGGGTAACAGCTGGGGTAACAGCTGATGGCATCTTGCTCCCCGCAGAGAGTAACACCCCCCCAAAAAAGCACAGGCACCCCTTCCTCCACCAAACATGCCCCTTCTCTCCTCCAGCCCCACTGCCACCTCCCCATCTCGACTGGGGAACACTTACTTGCCATGCTGCCTCACTCGGCTACGGCAGGGGGCTCCTGCCTACCTGTGGGGAAGAAAACAGAAGAGTCACCGACAGCTTCAATTTCACCCCCTGAAGCCCAAGACCTCCATGGCCCAGGGCCCGATTCCCGCAGGGAGCTGAGCGCTGTCTGGTGGACCCACAACGGTTCCCACGCGAGGAGCGTCTCTTCAGAGAACCGAAGACACTTCCCATCCATGGGAGGTGGGGACAGGTGAAGCAGTCATCATCCCGTTTTAAACCAACTTCACAGCCACGCCAGTTCTCGCTTCTGCAACTCCCACCCACCATCTGCAATCAATGGGGCTGCACCGTTTCCTCCACCACCATAAAGCCAACTCCACGGCAGGGAAGAAAAGGGTGGGCATCTCCTAAAGGCTGCTGGGCAGCAGCGTGAGCGACAGAGTTCCCGGCACGCTACCTTCTCTGTATATGTAGCACCTCTTTCTGCCAACATCAGCTTTCCTGTGGTTTCTGAGGTTCCTGCATGAAAAGCGGCAAGAGACCAAGCAAGCCCGCAGGAGTCTCCAGAGGCAGAAAGCAGCTTCTTGCCAACAGTTTGCAAAAAAACTCAGATCGTAAACCTAAAGTCTGGAGTTTAGGCAGGAGTGAGGGAAAGGAGCAGAGCACCAGGAGGGGTCTGCCACCTCCTGCACTTCTGTGGAGAAGCTGTGCCCCCAATCCCACTTTTCTGAGCTGTCCTGGGGGATGTGAGACAAGCTGAGAGGCCCCCAGAGGGCGTTCGCCCCACAGGCTGCTGGGGTTGTCCTCAGTCTTTACAGAGAGACCCAAACCCACAGCAGAGAAGAATGCGCGGCGTGGAAAGCTTGCCACAGTTTCCACACAAAGGCTCTGCGTTGCTTGTTGTTACAGCCATTCGCTAGGCAGGAGAGCAGAGATGCAGAAATAAAGACACTCAAGACCAGATTTCGAGGATTCCCAGCTCCATAATCCACGTCATACATCAGGCAACACAACGCATCGGGAAGATTTTAACTTTTTTCTCCAAGTATCTGTGCCAACACACTCAGTGTCAGCGCTCGGAGATGGTTTATTCCAGCACAACAACAAGCCAGGTCTACACAAACCTACCAGCACGAGCAACGCTTGCGAGAAGAGCGGACATCCCCGATGCTTATTTTTATTTCCGAGCGCAAATTCCTAGTTCCCCCCTTTCCTCAGGAAAAGCCGGACCACGGCACAGGGTGACGCGGAGCAGCATCCCTCCGGCAGCCGAGAGGAGCTG